CCCACTGCAGACTCTCCAATCTCTTGAGAGTGGTTCAATTTTATTTCAATATGCTGGAAATAAGCTGAAATGAATGTACATTGAAAATTGTCAGTTGTTTTCTGTTTTTTGTTTTCCTTTTTTTTTTTTTTTTTTTCCCTGAGAGATGGTATATTTATTCCAGTCACTCTTTTTTTTTTTTTTTTTTTTTCTCTTCCTCTTTCTATATGTGTTATGGCTGACTTCCATTTCTTTCCTACTCTTGAGACTCAGCAGGAAGGACAACAATTGGTGGCCTGGGAAATATAAATCCAAATGCCTGTGAGTTATATTTGCCCATCTGGAATTGGGGTTTGAGTCTGCACCACTGTATCCACAGTACAGGGTGGGTGGAGGGGATGGGACTGATAAGATGACAAACATTTGTCCTTTTGTAGTGTCTGACTAAGGAGGAGTGAAAATCTCATGGCAATTTGGGAAGAGTGGAGAGGAATCCTTGTGTTTGGCCACTGATATACCTTTGGTCACATTTTAGACTAGAAATGGCCATTGCAAATGAGATCTAGACAGTTACCAGCTCAGGGGATGCTGTAAGAATGTGGCAGCTACTAACCACGGGGAAATCCTCTCCCATATCACGCTTCAACTTGACCTTGAACAGATATCAGTATGATCCTTGGGATCTGGCATTTAAAAAGTCTTTTTAAGTCCTGTTACCATGAGGCACAGCAGCTCTGGAAAGCCTTGGTATATAATACTTTATTGCAGAAATATCAGAAGCATCTTCTAAAATAATTTGCTTAGGGCCATCAGGGGTTGGATGCTTCAATGCAGAAGTGTCCTGGTTATAAACTCTGAATCTTCAAAGAAATTTTTAACAAGGTTTTTGTCTGGCAGCTGCATTTACTATGTATTGGCTGGTACATTAGGAAATTTCAAGTCTGAACATGAAAATACATTAAAAATTACTACTCTTTTACAGTGTAGTGATAAGCAAGAAAGTGGACTGGATGTCACTCTGTGAAGGTCTATATTTATTTTTTTTCCACAGTTTTTGTAAATTTGCAGAGGCCAACAAGGTTTCAAGATCTGAGATAACAAAACCTTCTTGAATTTGCCCCTTTGAAATCTTTGCTAGATATGAATTTGTGGCATAAAGGAGCTTGTGAAGCTCCTGAGTCTGCCGTGGCGAGAGCATCTTTTGGCCAGGGGTGGGGGAAGATGTCATGAGAGAAAATGAGACCAAGTTTGCTAATTCTACCTGGCAGAGATCTGATTTGGGTGGAAGTGCCTGGGGAAATGCAGGAAGGATTCACTTGTAAGGCCTGATCTGTAGGGTCAGGGTTACATGATGAACTCTGAAGAGGAATGCGTGTGCTATTAGGAAATGGTTATGCAGAGCCGGTGTCCGATCCTATGGGTCTGGAGAACACGTGGCCAGGTGGGAGTTAAGAACTGAGTCCAGACTCCAGGATTGAGTGCCTTCATGATAGACTTGGACCTCATCCCTGATTTCTTCCCCCAAACTTTATTTACAATCAAAATAATATTCTCTCCTGGTGGCCCTTCCGCGGGAAGCCGGGTGGTGCAGAGGCTGTGCAGCACCTTGCGCAATGCAGCTCCCCACTTCTTCCCCCCTTCCTCCCAGTTCCCCTCTGCTATTGTAATACAACAACTACGGTAACTAAATATTCATCATTAGCTTCCAACAGACTTTAAATAGACCAGTGACAGCTTCCTTCCTTGTAAATTCTTTCCCCAAAGAACTTTTTTTTTTCTTCTAATTTTACAATTTTTAATGCAAAAAAAAATGTAGCCTATTAACACTCCCATGTAAAACTAACTCACATTCTGGCCCAGGAACAACAGTCTCTTCCTTGCTGTGTGGACAATTTCCTATATTGTCTGTGTAAGTCAAGCTTTAATGCTTTTTTTTTTTTTTCCCTTCCTACTTCGCTACAACTTTTTTGGACAGCAAAATTTCTGGACACAATGGTCATTTTGTGCCTGCGGTGAACAAAACCTTTCATTCAATTGAACTGTGACCCAGGATTCTGATCAGTAATTTTGGGAATAGTGACTTTTAGGGCCTAAAAAAAAAAAAAAAAAAAATTCTGATACATTTGTAAGGACCAAAGGACAAACTGACATGGTAGCTATGCACACTGCATATTGAGTGGGCTCAGGAAACAGTATAAATGTTTCAAGATGACTCTTGCTTTACAAGGCACCAAAGATTTTTTTATTAGAGCTCAGTTCCTGTAAGGAAGAAAAAGGTAGAAATACAGAGATAACTGCCTCCGTGTATAGAAAAATGGCAAAGTGAAAGAAAGAAAATATTTCAGATATTTAGTTAGAAAATACTTTCCTTCCTCTCCCTCTTCAAATAGTTGATTTTTTGGCAAAAATAACACCCAACGTGTTTTGACTGAAATGGAAATATTTCAGTCTGGAGAGAAGTCCTTGTGATACCTCCTGGGAACTGCTGTTTGGAAATCTGTTGTCTCCAACCTGTTCCCTCTCTACCATGACTCCCTGCTCATGCTGTCTCCTGCAGATCACCATGGTCCTCTCTTATGGCCATGGAGGCTGTCCTGACCCCTGGGAAACGCAGTCTGGAAAGAATTTGGTCCCCAGTGCACAATAGGAGTGTGGGATCCTGACACCACCTATGCTGACACTTGGGGGTAAAAATATTGCTGTTTCAGGCGAGCAGCTCCTTTATGGAAAGAGAATATTTTTTTTTTTTAATCAAGAAAAAACAACCAGTTTGTTACATTTTCCCTCTCTCAGCTCTCCATTGAGACAGAGGAAGCGCTGATTTAAGTGAGAAGTATCTGAGATGGGGATGGATTCTTAGTGTTTGCGTGGTTCTTTGCACAGCGAGGGTCTGATGTTGATGGGGTCCCTGTGAGTTACCATGAGAATTTACCACAGGAAATCCCCATACGGATCTAATCCTATGTCCCAAAGAGACATCCAGTTCTTCCCCCACTGAAGCAGGGAGAAAGTGTGAAAACATTCATCTCTGCATCCTCCAAAAAAGCCACAGAGAACATGATGTGACATCACGCCATGGTATGTCCCTCCTTCTCCTCCACCGTAGCTTAGAGGCTCTGTCATTTCTTGGGAGATTGGGTGGTGGTGGTGGTGGTGGGGCTGAGGAAGAAGGAACCAGACAATCCATGCAGCATCATCTCATTAGGGAGGAAAGCTAAGGACAAGGTCCATGTGTCATCACCTCCCTGTAGATTGTCTCCTTGGAAAGGAAAAATGGTGGGGATGTGGCTTTGGGGTGTCATGCTGGTACGATTTCCATGAGGATCACCGGGTGAAGCTGGATTACGACAGGAGCAGGCAGCTCAAAAGCCTGACCTGGTAGGGTTGGGAAATCCCCTAGGACCCAGAAGATTTGAAGGTCATTCATGAGGTTTGAAGGCTACAGCGCTTGACCTTCCTGAAAAGCCACCAAAGCTGCCCTCCAGCAAGAGCTCCTGGAGTGGAAATGTTAATGCTGGGTGTCCACAGGCAAAGAGGTCCTCTGAAGCCCATCACATACCCTGGCATCCCTTACTGTCTTGTGTAACTGAGGGATAAGTCTTTGCTTCCTCCCAGTCCATCTCTCTTGTTCCTCATGTGCAGGCTGGACTTCAGTCCTGGGAAAGCCAGCCCAACTGGGTGGAAAGCCATGTTCCTGCTGGCCCTGCAGGGAGGAGCTGCTGGGCTTACAGGGGAAGAAACCCCACCTTTGGAACAGGCTCTCTTTGGCAAGCCACCAGTGCCCAGGGTTTGGAAAGCTTTTGTGGCACAATAAGAGACACATTTATTTGGTTTTGAGCTCCTGGGTGAGTTTTCCCTCCGTTACAGTTTGGTTGCTGATGTTTCTGGCAGCCACCACAGCAGTGGCTTGGATGAAAGCTCCCTGTTGTGAGTAGGTTTATATAATTGGTATTGTTAAATTTTGTAAGTTCTGAGTTGCTACAGTAATAGGTTCTCTCTAAGGGGTGTAACTGGAGATTCAGGGCTCCTCCTCCAGATGATCCTGTTGATGGGATTTAAGGATCTGTCCTTTCTCCAGCACAGTGATTTTGGGCACGTGTGTAGGGCACCTCAAAGCCAGCTTGATCCAATGGCTATAGCCTCAAAGAAGAAAGCTTGTGCTGGAATCTGGGCTCTGGTTTGTGGCTGCTCTGAGACACCCTACTCAACTTCAGTTCTCCCCCCTGCAGAGCAGGAATAATCTTGTCCAGCCATATTGCTGATGTGCTTGAAGAAATGTCTCCAGAACATACTGTAGGGTCTTGTAGGAGAGGGGATTTCTAGCCAGTGCTGGCAAAGCATCCCTACTTCAAACCAGATTTCAGAGCAAGGGAACAAACTAGACTTTCCACTAGTGCTCACCCTCCCAGCCTGGCTCCACTGGGGTGTGTGGCTCTGGTGTGTGTCAGGTCTTGGGGGTTTATTTATTTCTCTTTTCTGAGCACTCTGGAGTGAAGCTTGTTCTCTGGTTCAGGGATCCCCCATCCAGGACAACCAGGCTGGCACACCCTGGGGAAAAGGAATGGAGATAACTAGCATAAGAGGAAAAAAGTAGACCTAGATATTTAATCCAAGTCAGCTTGACAGAAATGAGGTGCATGTGCATATCCACATATGCAATATAAATAATATATCATTTATAAATGCTATCATAATACATAAATATAAATCTTGTGTATGTCACTATAACTGCATATATCTACATATGAGTGTAAAATAGCAATTGTGGTGGAAGAAACATGAATCTAAGGAGACAGACACTAAAATGAAGGTGAAATGCAAGAGTGCTGCATGGATAAAGTGTGACAGGGCTGCAGTATCCTGGGAGGGATGTCTCTATTTTCCTAAAAGTCTAAACAAACACCATGACACTAATGTGCTGCTTTCATTTATTAATCCATTAACCTACTTATTAATTGATTGCTTTTATGTCTTTTTTTTTTTTTTTTTTTTTTCCCCTGTTGTTGTTTCTTTGCTTTTAGTAAAGAGTACCCGGTTGTTCCCAGGAGCACAGTGAGACAAAAAGTGTCCTCGAATCACAGCCCCTTCAGTGGTGAGACCAGGGTCCTTTCTGCTTCCTCCAACCTGGGCTCCCAGTATCAGTGTGAGAACGGGGTGTCGAGCACCTCCCAGGACCTGCTACCGCCTGCCAACCCCTACCCGATCTCCCAGGAGCACAGCCAGATCTACCACTGCACCAAGAGAAAAGGTCAGACCTCAGCTGCTCCCCACTCGGTGCTTTCTCCTTCCTGACGTGACTGCCAGCATTGTTTTCTGATGTTTCCCCTTGCCCACAGTCTGGACAGCCCCAGCCTGCTTTATGGTGACACTTGAGGACGAGCAAGGGATGAGGGTTCTGTGCCACAGGCCCCAGGATGGGCTGGGAAACTCCTCTCACCGATGTTTGCCTAACCCCCCATCTCTGCTGCTGGGCTGGGGGTGAGCTGTTTGGAGGGGTAGCAGTGCCTTTCACCCACGTTGAATCCACATTCAGTAAGATAGCTGGTGCCGGAGATAAAGATGACTTATCTCTCTCCATAGCCCTTCAGACAGGGTTAATCTCCAAGTGGAGATACCTTGACAGCTTGGATTTTGCAGTTTTCAACTAAGAGTCTCACAGCTGGGAGACAGTTGTCTGTCTGCAGAAAGCAATTCCACTTAAATGCTCGGTCTAATGAATGGGGCGTGGGATTGAAAATCATGATATCCATGTTCGTTCGCCTCTGGTGCGACTGACCTGCTCTGACAGAGCTTGAGGGATCAAACTGTGAGGGTTTTACACTGACTGCTCAGCTCGTCCTGGCGTGAAGAGCCCCAGTCCCGTGGTATCGCTGGGATAATTGTTCTCAGGCAGGAGCGAGTGGTTTGCAGTCTCTCCCAAAGCAATGGGAATGTTTAGATGCAGAAACACTTGCAGGACTGAGATAGCAAAAGCCTCAGATCAGCTCCACCCCAGACACTCAGAAGAAAATAAGGAATTTCTAGGGCTGAATGCAACCCTGTGGTGTGGGCAGGAGATGGTTACTGCCTATCCCTGTCCCCCTTTCTCAGGATTTAGTTTACATTGCGTGGGAAAAGTTAACAGGAGTCAGCATGCACCGTGGCATTTGAATGCACTGAGTTCTCCAGCCTGGTAGCTTCTTCCCACAGCAGATCCCTTCCTGCTTCCCTGCACGGTCCTATCAGTCAGCCACATGTCATTATTTTTAGTAACATCACCTCTGGGGCGCTGGGATGTGCAGTATAGACACACAGTCGAAGGTAGCGGATGCTGGGAGGTGCTGGCAGATGAGGTGGGACGGCAGTGGAAATCTCTTTCACATCCTCGGTGAATTCCCTGAATGTTGTAACATCACGTGTGTTGTGTACCAGTATATATGCAAAACAGAAAAAGTGGAGAAATCGTACTATTTTCCTGAGACTGAGCTAAACAGTGGAAAACAGAGGCATCATTTTCTGACCCCTCCAGCTGACCAGGCAGCTCTCGTGCTCATATAGAGTGTATCAAACCTGTGATTGGAAATGGTGATGCAAGACTTGAGCTAGCTGTAATGTAGGGAATATGGAGTTGATGTGGCCTCCCAGAGTGTCCCCCAAGGTCAGAGGTGGGGTGTGTGGCCCTTGCTACCCCTGTGCTGGTGTGGCACTCTGGGTACGAGGTGCTGGGGCACAACAGGGTTGCTGCCAAGCCCCGAAGTTGGTGATGGAAAGGCAGATCCAGTTCGCCCTTGGAGTCCCTCAGCCTGTGATCCATCCTCGGTGCTCCTTTGCCCTGGGAGCTGAGCTTTCACCGTTCTTCTTCCCCTCTGCAAAAACTAACCAAAACAAGCTGGCCCAAATGGCAACAAACCCTTCGGACAATCTCCAACTGCTGCGTGTCCCCGTACCACAGGGCAATTCATCATTCGCCTCCACATTGTAATGTGATAAGGAATCAACAGAGGTTTCCTTCCAGTTTTGGGATTCCTGCTAAGTGGTGTCTCCATGGGTGGTTTCCCTCAATCCCCCAATTATCTCACTTCCTCTTATTGTCACAAAAGAGACGACTATCTGCCCTGTAATAAGCTCCCCGGCCCCTTTTGGCCTGCGTGGCCCTTGCAGGAGACTGGCAAAGCGAGTCCTTGTCTGTACGGCTGATGGCCCCTCATTATCTCTACGATGGCTTGAGTGGCACAAGCAGTTAAGGGCCTTTTATCAAAGTCACCAAATGCTTTAATCAAAGAGAAGCAATGTCCTGTCCGATACCACCGGCTTCTTCCGTGAAGCTGTACATCTCAGGAGCCTGAGTCTCTGCTTTCCTCGCTGTGCCTTTTTCCCCCTCCCCATGCATCTAGTAAATCGAAAACAGTCACCAGGGCTTAAAGAAAAGAAACACAAAGTTAATGGAAAACAGAGAGCCAACATAAGCTGCCAAGCAGCTCTTTCCAAAGTGAAATTAATTAAAAAAAAAAAGTCACTAGAGATGAGCAATTCTGTTCAGATAAATCAGAACGTGATCCAAGATTTCATCTCAAACTCAGACTGAGCATGGCACTTTCTTCTAGCACTGAGCAAGGATCTTTATTGATCTTGGGAAAATCTTAACTATAATATTCCTCTTTTATTCATTTTCCAGCCTCTTCTTTCTAAGTGTAGTATTAAGCTTTCCCTCACAGCTGTCCTGCTTTCCTACCTTCCTGCATAACTTTTAACAAGCCTCACCATCTAAAAAAATATGAAAGCAAGAGCGTGTTTGCTACTATTGCACCTCTATCCATTTTCTGGACTGGAAGTTTTATTGATTTCATTGGATCATCAACTCCCCAAACATTGACTCCTTCAGTCAGTTTAGGATTTATCTCAAGCAGATTATTTCCTTTTTGCAAGGTTGTGGTTACGGATAAGTGCTCGCAGGGGCAGAGGACGATTCAACAGGGTTTGAGACCAGCTGGTGCCTGTATCTTCTGCAGCAAATACCACCACTGTTTTCCAAGATAGTCTCTCAGATATGGCTCCTTCCAGCTTTGACATCTCATGGTGTTTCTCTGTATCCTTTTTAATGAGGAGGTCAAGTCTTGGGTTAGGCTCAGTTAAGAATAGGACTGTATTTGAGCAACTCAGAGGCACTTTATTCAAATTCTACTTCCTTGGTGACCTAAGACAGAGATTTAGCTCTGTGGTTGACAGTGTTGTTCTTAGCTGTCAAGTCAAGATGGATTCGCTCTGGAGATCTGATATGGAGTTGCATTAGGGGAGAGCAGCAGGGCTGGGAAGGGATGTTATCTCTGAAGGCTCCTCTGTTTCAGGAAGGTGATGCTCTTCTGGGTGAGGAAGGAAGGAAGGAAGGACACATCCCAGAGCCCCAAATCTGGCAATTCCTGGTGTGCAGGTGGGAGTGCAGGGTTGCGGCATCGGGGATGACCCCAGTGTGGTGCAATGGGGGTTGCTGCTCCAGGCACCTTGTGAACATGCTGAGTGATGGGGAATGGCAGTCCTCCAGGCGAGAATCATCTTGTGTTGTATCCCAGCTCCATGCTGAGATTGCTTATGGCATTTCACAAAGTCACTGGTCTTGAGAGGATGGATTAACTCCAATCCCGTATCCTACCAAGGAGTGGCCTCCATTCCTGATGTGGGTTTTTAGGCTGCAACAGAGACCAGTTCAAGTTTTGCCTTTTTTCTAGTTGTTCTCCACCTCTCTCCCTCTCATTGTTGTGCTTGGAGAAGCCCAAAAGAACTTACCAGCAGGCAGCTTGCTTTCTGTCTTTCATTTGAGCCCCACATCCCAATTAGTGTATTGGGGCTTGTTTTCCCTTGTGTTATCCTCTCCCTCAGACTTCCTGTGAACTAAAAAGACATCCCTCTAAACCTCCGCTCCCTCCCAGCCTTACACAATCTCAACCACTTGGCAGATTTCTGGGATGCTTGTGATGCTGAACAGGAGGCGACTGGAACAGCCTCTCCCTGGGGAGGTTATAAAATTTGTCATGTTGGCACCCTGAGGGAGAAGAGGGACGTGGCAGAATCCACTGGCTCCAACCAGCGAGGACTGTATCCTTCAGCCACCTAGCTTGGACATGACCCTGACCATGGGGAAGAATAGATCTTTCATCTCCTTCCTGCTCTGATGAGGTCGGTGGAGATACGGCAATGCCTTTCCTCCTTCTCCTCAAGAACAGGCACTGGTAGAGTGGATGGACCTCTTAGTTGACTGAACTCATTTCTCCCTCATCCCATGCAGCTTTCCTTTCACTCAAAGAATCTGTAGGACAATAATCAGGTATGGGATGTCTTCTTGGAGGACATGCTGCTTGTCCTGCTGATGTTAGGAGATGCAATGAGTTGGCCAAGGCATGGGCCATGCTGCAGCTGGAGGTGTTTGCAGCTTGGGTAGACGCAGTGGAGCCCAGGGAAAGGTGGCTGCTGGGGCACGGAGGGTGAAGATGAGCCTGCCTGACAGGTGGGGAGATATTCAGGGGTCTGGGGTGCACCCAGCTTTTGCTGTGCAGCCACATTGCTTGTGACACTGTAGTTTCAGCGGCTTCGTGGAAGCATCCCCCTCTCCCATCAGGAGGTGCCTCCTGTGCCTCTGCAGGCAGTGCTGGCAGCTCGCTGCCTCAGGAAGAGGTTCCAGCTTTTGGTGTTGGATTGTCCCTGCCCCACAACCCTTTCTGTCGTGTTCCCCTGCAATGCGACACAGCCATCTTGCAAATGGTGTGATTGCTGAATTAACTAGGGCGTCTTAGGTTTCATGTTGTAGGATGTACATCTTATTTGCCCGTTAGGGGTGTTCATTTTGCTTGAATCTGCCTTTCTCTCTTCTTCTTTGACAGCCCTTGTCAGTTTTACACACTGGTATTGGCTATTCAGGCTCATGCTAGAAACCAGACTGGATAAAACAGCAGTGCTAGTGATAATCACCCATTGTGTCTCCCTCACAAAGTTGGGATGAACCTACTGTAATGCCCTGGAAGTGTGGATGAGCTTTAAAAACTAAAACAGTTGGGTCCCATTCTTCATTGTCTTCTCTCCTGGGGAGCTGATTGTCATGATTTGGAAGGGAGCTTTCCTGATTTACACCAGGGGAAGAGGAGGGCCCAGTGCACCCTAAAGTCCAGAGATTTTACATGTTTGCATTTCATTCTGGACGGCCCTAATCTTGGAATTGGGAAAATTCCATTTAAAAAGCCATTTGTGTGGTATTTACAACCCAGCTGGAAGTAGTAAATACCGGAAATCTTGGAACTGCTCATGCTCTCGCTCAAGCTCCTTCATTAGATAGATCATCAAATTCCTTGTGAGGGAGCCAGTTTCCACCCCATTCTGCAGGCTCCGTTTTCCTTGGATCCACTTCGGAGCAGCTTCTCCCAAGCGCTGGCAGCTTCCCCTGCTTGGCAGAACCTTTTGCTTTTTGAGGTTTGTGCAGTATCAAGGGGCTGGTCACAAGAGCTGATCGTCACCCTTGGCTTCCAAGAATAGCAACAAAAGCGGAGGGTGCCCAGCACCTCCCAGTGGTGCCCAGCACCTCCTGGGGCTCAGTGGCAACAGGAAAAGGACTATGAAGTGCTGTCAGGGAACCAACATCAAGAATCAAACGCAGAGCAGATCAGAGAGTTATCTGCTATATCCTGCTAATGCTGATGCTGAGGAGGTAAGAGGACCTTCAAGGATTAAGGCCTTGAGATGGACTGTCCAGGCTCCAGAGCAGGTAGGGATGAATTTAAACTCCAGCCTTCAGCATTGTCTGAGAGTTCTGTTTGATTTGTCCTCCTTTTGCAATTCTCTTACTTGAAGATGTCCCTTTTCCACCCCAGATCTGCTCCACACACCGTAGGGATGCATTTCACCTGCTGTGTGCTGGCTCTGGTCTCCTCTGTGAGGAGCGGTGGGACAACACCAGATCAGAGTAGAGAGCCTGGACCAGTGTAAATTCATTAGCTGGCACCCGCTGAGGATTTCTGGTCTGCATCACCCCATCTGAAGATGAAGATGGACTGTTCTCTTCCCTCTCCAGCACTTTGAGGTTACATAGATGGGAAAATCATCAGGAACTGGGGCCAGAGGGCAGGCAGAAGCTGTTAGAGTAGGCTGTAATCCTTCGCTAAGGACTATGTTCTCTTTGGAGAGGGATGGGGTGTCCTTACACATCTTAAAATCTGGAGTGATGGTGCCCTTTCCACATACAACAATGGTGAGCCTGGCTCTACAGAGGCCAGCAGAGCGATCGCGAGAACTTACAGAAGAGGTGGCACCTATAGGGTTTCCATTGAAATCCTGTTTTTTGTTTTTCTCTCTTCACCTGTGTTGAATTCTGGAAGTGGATCCGTAACGCTGCAGCTCTGTTTGGTTGGGCTGTGGCAGGCAGCAAAATGTCTGGGCTAAATGGGAAAATTAGCAACCTCAGGTTGTAAGTCAGGCACATTTTTTACACAACGGAAAAACAGAGTTTGAGTGTTTTCTGTTGTATATCTTAAAAAAAAATAAAGTAAACAATCAAACCCCAAGCCAATGATTTCTAATGCCAGAAGAGTAATGCGGTTTAATGCTGAAAACTTTATTAGTAGAACAATGCTTCATTTTACAAGACATTGTTTTTCCACCCTAGTGTTCTTATTACTCAGTGGTGGGTTAGGGATCCAAAACTTTAAGGCTGTCTGTAAAAGCTAGAGCTCAGGCTGTTCTTCCAGATGTACCTCCTGTCATAGACACATGTTCAGGCGGGAGCTTAGGCCCGTGCTTCCAGTTTTTGTCTTTCAGGGTACTACATCCTCTCCACCGTTTCTATATAAAAAGAACCTGATCAGGATTAAGGAGAGCGATACACTTTTGCACCTATTTGCTTACTGTTTCAGGTCTTTTAAAGAGGTAATTGCATTGCTCACTTATCCCATTCTACTTTCTGTCCTGATTTAAGAGAAAGCACAGGAGGAAGATAACTTGATTATCAGGGCTCCGCATTGCTGGGACTAAGGAGTCAGGTTTTGCTTTTGTCAGGAAGAATGCATGAAATGGGAGTGTGGCTTTCCAGCTGAATTTACAGGCAGCTGCTATTACAAAGCCAAAAGACACCAAAGGGGAAAGTCCGCACGGTGCGTACCTCAGTACCTGATGTTTTCTGGGGTTGTCAGGCCAAGAAGACAAACAGCAGTGCTTGTTCCAGCTGGACTTGATAGACACCTGAGTGGGAGTAAATGGGCTATTTTACAAGCAGAACGGGTGCAGCTTCCAGGAGAAAGCACGTGGCTGTTTATAGCAGTAAGGGTATGTGTATGTGCATGTTTACAAGAAACAAAAGGTGCTTGCACTGCCCATCTGCACCTCCTGAAGGTGAGACATGGGCACCCACGTTGGAGCAGCCCAGCAGCAACACCAGTGTCTTTGCAAATGCCTTAGTCCTCTTTTCTGTAGAACTGTGGTTTTTTTTTTTCCCTTTGTATTTTGGGGATGAAAAAAATTACAGCTCCAAACGTGTTGGTTGAGAAAAATTTAAAAAGGGTCATTTCTTGCAGTATTCTTTCAAATTTTACCCCTGTTGAAAAGGTGCAGACAAGAAGGCATTAAGTGAAGTGGGATGGTTTTTCTGCCCGCACCAGAAATCTTGTTCTTGAAGCAGCAGCAAAGTGAATCCTGGTCAGAACAAGCTCCCTTTCCCTTGCCTCGCTGTCCTTAAAATCTCTTGATGAAGTGCTCGTCCCTGGGAACTTTGCCATCCATTCCAGCAGAGCTGGATTTCATCTGATGACCCTGTGAATGAATAAATAAGTGCATATTCATTTATTCATTTTGCTTCACCCTAGAGATTTCACCTAAATTGTTTATCTCCTTCCCTCTGTTGGCCTGGGATGCTGCAGGAAACAAAGGGCTCTGCAAGCTGCGCCTTGTTGTTTTTAGCTGTGAAATTTACTTTTCTTTTTTGCTACACTTGGCTCCAGCACACAGCCCTGTGTGGATTTATGTGCCCAGCTCCCTTGGCACAACTGAAGACCAGGGCTGTAAAACTCCAAATCTGATTGTCTCAACTGTGCCATCGCTGATGCTCTCCTGGGGGGATTTTTATTGTGATCTCCATTTTTGTCTCATTTGTCACAAAAATATATCATAAAGGCTTTTGGTTAACAGCATCAGCTCTGGGCCTCTCGGTTGAGAGTGGGGACCTCTGTTAGGTGCACTGTATCCGCAGGCAGATGTTACTTCTGCTGGCAGCAAAAAGGAGATGAGGAGCTTGGTGGTGTGGGGGTGTGCATGGGTTATCACCAAGCAAGCTAAGCCTCAGGATCCCCCCAGCAACTTCTAGCCTTGATTTTCCTCCCAGAGCTCCCAGCTACTCCCTTCCCCAGTCCAGCAGACAGGGCCAAGTGCAAGCCTTGGTTTCAGCAGGATTGATTCAGATCAATTCCAAGGAAGAGATCTGGATTTATGCTGACTTAACTGAGAGAAGTGTCAGGATTAGCTCTGTGCAGGCTGCGTCCCTGCTAAAAGGACGATTGTGGAGAGGGAGGTTCAGCCGAGGGCACAGTACTGTTGGTTGCTACCAGGAGTTTTCTCTCCCAACAGATGAGGAATGTTCCACCACCGAGCATCCCTACAAGAAGCCCTACATGGAAACTTCTCCGGCAGAAGAGGATCCTTTCTACAGGTCCAGTTACCCCCAGCAGCAGGGACTGAACACTTCATACAGGACTGAATCAGCCCAGCGCCAAGCATGTATGTATGCCAGCTCCGCCCCCCCCACGGACCCCGTGCCCAGCCTAGAAGACATCAGCTGTAACACGTGGCCGAGCGTGCCATCCTACAGCAGTTGTACAGTGTCTGCCATGCAGCCGATGGACAGGTTACCCTACCAGCATTTCTCTGCCCACTTCACCTCGGGGCCGCTGATGCCCCGGCTCAGCAGTGTGGCCAACCATACCTCCCCCCAAATAGGAGATACCCATAGCATGTTTCAGCACCAAACCTCGGTTTCTCACCAACCCATCGTCCGGCAGTGTGGACCTCAAACTGGCATCCAGTCCCCCCCCAGCAGCTTACAGCCTGCAGAGTTCCTGTATTCCCACGGCGTGCCTCGAACCCTCTCGCCCCACCAGTACCACTCGGTCCACGGTGTGGGCATGGTGCCAGAGTGGAGTGAGAACAGCTAACGAGGCGGTCAGGAAAGTGCAAGAGCATTAGCCATGGGGGAAAGGAAAAAAAAAAAAAAAGAAAAAAAAGGGAAAAGGAAAAAAAAAAATACCCTGTCGATAATAAAAGCGAGAGTATTTCGCAAGACTCCTTTAACTGAATGTTCACCGATAGCACTCGAGAGGGACGGACACTGATTGAAACCACAGATGAAATGGTCATCGGCCTCCGTGTGACTTTCCTCCCCCCCCTTTTTTCTTTTGTTTCAAAAGAAAAATCGTCAGATTGGCACACTTCTCCCCTGCCACGGTCCCCACCCAGTTTGTGTTGCTGCCACCGCCAGCCCTCTGCCCTTGTCCCCCCCCCCCTCTGCCCTCCTGCTCTTTTTGTTCTCCAAGGGACACCAAACTCCTGCTGCCTTTCTCAACACGGTCAGAGTGCTTGAACGAAAACAACTAGGATGTTTCTTTTTTTGTGGTGTTGATGTTGACAATGTTATATAATAAATAATAATATATATATATTTTCTTCCAATTTTCTCAGAAAAAGACACCGGCCCTTTTAACCAAGGGTGAATTTTGGAGTGGTGTTTCTTTTTTTTTTTTTTTTTTTTTTTCTTCTCATTAGTATTATCATTGTTACTTTTCAACAGAAAGAGGTTTTACAAACCCACAAATAAGAAAAGCAGGTACCTACCTCGCCCAGACATTGTACCATGGGTGAAATCACTGCCTGCAGGGTGCTGTGTTTCCTTACAAACGCCCCAAAACACATCTCTGCAGGAACAAGGCCCATAAACTCATCTCCTTTCCCACTTGTGTGTAATTCTCTCGCTCTTCTTTCCTTCTCATCTCCCAGTCTTTCCCAGTCCACCAGCTGTCTCTGATGGAAGTGTGGGGTATCTCTCAAACTTGAAAACAGCCACAGCTTGTCTGCTGCCGAATTTTTACCGGCATGCGGAAAGCGAGGCTCTGGGCCAGCTGCGAGGGGGGGAAAGAGGGGGGAGAGGATGCAGACAGCGAAAGGAAAAAGCTTGCTCATAAAAATGATGATGACGCTTGTTTGCAATCCTGGACTTGAATTTTATCGTGTGTTCTTTTTCTTCCTATCAAAAAAAAAAAAAAAAAAAAGAAAAAGGGATACTGGTCTGGGTATGTTAAGTGAAATATTAAGTAAATGTTTTTGAAAGGAGCAGAAAATGATCATGAGAGGCTGGGAGTGGGGGAGGCAAAAAGAGAAGAAAAAGCAACTGTGTGTAAGTAAACATGTCTACTGCCGAATTTTTCAGGTGTAGAATTTCCTGGTACTATTTATTTATACATGACAGTTCAAATAACTCATAGTATGTTACAAAGCCAGCAAAGCAGCTGATTCAAAGGGGTTAAAATTTTTATTGAAATGGAAGTTTGCTTTTTTTTCTTTTTTTTTTTTTTCTCTTCAAGCTGTGCACACTATATAATTTACATATATTTTTAATTAAAAGTAATTCTAATTAACAAAAGAGGCATACCTGTGTGTCAGCAACTGAGAATGTGGGTGTGAATGCGTGGGAATACTGGTATGTGTGTGGGAGGGATTATAGACAGGTATCCGAAGCCATGTAGCTAAGAAGAAAAAAATTATCCCTACCTAGCTACGCTTTCCTATTCTTGTGTGCCAATTTATGTCTAATAAATACCATATGCTCTCAATGGCAAGGGACCTGGCCACCTATTTTTATTTTTTTTTTGTTGTTTAGGGGTGGTTTTTTTCAGTTCTTTCTGCTCGATGCTCATAAGTTTGATTTTCATTTATTTCTGATGTGCTGCAGGAGGCACAGCGTCCCAACGGGGAAGGCTGTGATGGGCTGAGCTTGAGACTGCTGTGCCTGGGGCTGTGTTTGTCTGCTACAGAACTCCTGGGTCCCCCCAGGTCCTTCTCACCCAACCCATCCCCAGGGGACGTGCTCTCCTGGGGTCCCTTTCCTGGAGAGGCAGATTTAGAAGCGCCCTTGGGAATCCCGGTGGGTGCTGGGGTGGCACCGAGAAGCCCTCGTGGAGGTGGAGCTGCCCCTTGTTCCTGCGTAGATGGGGTTGGTGGGGGGCATCTGGCCCAGGGGAGGTGTGGGGCCGCGTCCCAGCCTCGGTGAAGGAGGGGAGGATGCTGGATGCTTCGCGGATTGGAAACAAGGTGGGGAGAACAGCTTCGGAGAAACAAAGAGATCGCATCCCAGAAGCCCAGCAGGAAGGTGTCTGGCCGGTGAGCCAGGGCCACCCCAGGGAGCAGCACGGCCAGGTCCTGGGAGCGAAGCGAGGGGGTGTCCCCAGCCTGTCCCACCCGCGGCAGCTCACCCGGTGCGCCAGAGACCCAGGGACACCTTGTAAAGGGACAGAAAGTGAGTAGGATTATCAGAGCCCCTTCACAGGTGACGGGCCCACCTAGGTGTCCCATGGCAGGTGGGACCTGGGGGATGGTGTCTGCTGGGGCTGTCCCAGCGCTGGCTACGATACTTCCTATGGCTGTCTCTGCTTTTTCTGCCTTCTACTTTCAACAACTGGGTTAAACACAGTCAAAATGCAAGGCCGTGCTACCCTGGGAGCTCGCTCTGGGTATCAGCCACATTTGCAGGCAGAAGGAGATGTAGGAATCATGTAACCCTTCTGTGGGCATGGCTGGGACCTCGGGTTATACCCAAAGCCGTTTGTCTTTGTGGAGCCACCACCAGGGAATTATTCAAATGTTGCAGTGCTCAGTAAATCACATGCTGTTCCTCTAGAATACGCAGTTGTCCAAGATTAATGACTGAGTAAATTGCATCTTGAGTTAAGGAATAAAAAATTACACTGTATTTAGCTGTCAGTTACATTGTACTTTCCAGGCTTCGTTATCCCACTGCTAATCATGTAATTGTCTTAACACTATATGGTAATTTACATGCAATTAAACAGCCAGTGGTTACTCTGTAAGTAAAAAGGTCTTACCAGAAATGTGTGCCATGCATCTCAAAGAGTATTAAGGAAACTAAACCCGCATGGTAAATTATTTCTCAAGCTTTGGAAGGAAAGCCTCAAGCTTTCAACTTGACTAGTTTTCTCTGAGTTCCTTGCATTATTTTTTTGGCTCTTCGGGGAAATGCCGAGACTCTTTGGTGGAGTCTGGAATGCCACGGTGGGCTCTGATCGCTGGGTTTTGGCTGCTGGAAATCCGGGTATCTCCCCAAGGATGCAGCCTGGTGAGGGCACATTGTCGTGAGAAGCAAGGAGGCTGTCGATGGTGGGAGGATGGACCTGTCACACCCGCAAAATCTGGGATGAAGGCAAAGGTGGGTGGGAGGATGTGATATAGCCTTCTCCTCCTCTTCCAGAAGAGTTTGTTAGTGGTTACTGCTTTAGTATGGCGTTTCTGGGCTTTAGCCTTGATGGAGCTCAGTTGTGCCATATGAGCACAGCCTGCTCTTCCATTTGAGTACGACTGTGAGGAGTCTAATAAGAGATGAAAGAAAAAAGGTGATTTGTTCAAAGGCCCACGGTGACTCTCAGCCTGGATGTGAATGTGCCTGGTCTATGTGGAGCCCTGAGAAACAGCTTGTACTTCTTCCCAACTGGTCCAAAACAATGCTGGGAGCTGTCAAGGAGAAGGGTGTTCTCTGCCTTTGGTTGTGATTTTATGTTACAAAGAGCCTGAAGTGATTTCCTTCGTTTCTCTTTTTACGGACTTATTCCTTAGCAGAGTATGATAATGATGACAATAATAATAAACAAACAGACAAAAAAAATAGGGAAAAGATTGTATAAGAGTTACTATCATTGAAAGAATTGGACAAAAGAGGTTGCAAAATTCACCCTATTCAGAGCTAAACTGGCAATTCATCCATAAGAAGCCTTGAAACTTGAGGAAGACCATCCCAGCATGGTACAAGAGACTGAGCACAGCCACCACCAGCCTTTCTATTGCCTACAAGTCCCAGGAGCCAGAAAACAATCCTCAGCATTGCCGGGTAGTTTCCCATAAGCACCACTGAGGGTGTTGGGGGTGGGCTGGACCCGGGGTGTTTCTGCCGTGGGCCTGGGGACAGGGCTGGTGGAAGAGTCCAGGAGAGCTGGATTTGCTGGGGGGTGAACCATGTCCCGGGGCGAGGAGGGAGCCCTGCAAGGCCAGTGGAGGAGGAGGCAATGGTGGCCCATCCTCCTCCTCATGGGCAGGGGACCTCCTTGCCTCAAACCTCTCCCCTTTGGAGAGGAGCCTTGCAGCAAACTTGCTGCTCTGGCAGCGTGGAAAGTAGCCGTGAAACATCACCAGGCAGAAGGAAAACAGAGCTTTATAGATGAACCATAATAAATAAGTGCAGGCTGCGCAATTCCTTCAAGCGGAGAAGGAGAGAAAGAAACCCAACCTCTGCTAAAAACATCTTTGAAAGAGCGAACGCAAATTCCCAGTCTGTGGTCACAATGCTGTTTTTTCAGCTGCCTTCCTAGGCTAAAATACTCCCTGCAGTTACCATGGCTCGTACCTGGGGAGGCTGCAGATGCCCTGAGCAGGCACAGAGAGCTCTTTGTCTGCCCCTATCAGCTCGCCTCCACTTTTCAGGTTTCAACAGCTAGGATGCTGTGTGGGTTTGGGACGTGGTTTTTCCCCACCATGGTACCTGCTGGGCTCAGCAGCTCCCAAACCTGCATGGGTGAGGTTTCTCCTGGGGACAAGGATGCTTGAGAGGGGCACAGTCACCCCTCTCCTGCTCAGCGCTACTGCAGGCTGCGCTCCCAGGGCAGAGCCGACCTCCCGAAAACTGCCTTTGTGCCTCGAGGGCTGAGGGAAAAAAATATCCCAAAGCCTCAGGATTCTTGCTCATAAATCCAGCCCACAATATCATAGATTTTACAGTACTGCCAACTCTGACAATTTTATGATGGGTCTCATGTGATTTGCAAAAGTGTTTTTTTTTTTTCTCTTAAAATTTCCAGTTGCTGGAGTCCTGTGATTATATGAGACTCTCAAAGGATTCTGAGTCTTTCCCCAGCCTCCTTGTTTTTTCTTCTTTGTTGGGTTTTAGGATATATAATAAATTTGGAAATTTTACTGAAGAGGAAAGTGAGGCAGCAAAAAGAAATAACTTGTCTGGAGGTGGGACTAGAACTCATCACCAGACAAAAAATATTTTGCCTTTTTTTTTTTCTTTTTTTTATTTTGAGTTCTCTCTGGAAAACTGAATGCCTTTCCTGCATTTTTTTTTTTTTGAGTAATAAAAATTTCAAAGTTTTAAGTGAATGGAAAGTGTTCAGAAAGTGGCTTGAATAAATTCCCACCCTAAAAAAAATGGAGAAATATTTTGTTTACATTTAGAAGATTTTACTCTTTTGAAATTTCAAAGGAAATTTTTCAACCTGAACTCGTTTCAGAGTGAAACACTGACATGTTTCACTTGGAACCCACCACACCCAGTGGCTCTGATGTTTTCTACTTCCTTTGTTTGGTTGAAACAAATCCCACAGCCTCAGCGGCTGGTTCTGAC